GTTCCTGCAATGAGGTCAACAGTTACGGCACTGGAAGAAAAAAGGAAATTGGCTGTATCGGATCCTGTGCCCCCGTCGATGATATCATTGCCATCCCCGCCACTTAACTGGTCGTCATCCTCTCCACCAAAGAGTCTATCATTTCCGGCTCCACCAAAACCGACGTCGTTACCACCATTCATGTGGAGGTCGTCGGCACCGCCAAGTCCAGAAAATGTGTTGACGTTGTCATCCCCGTACATGAAGTCATCAAATTCTGTTCCAATGGCATTTTCTATTCCTTCTAAGGCGTCGAGATTTTCGAATGATTCGTCTTCTACGCCCCCTTGAAAGGCTTCGCCAAATTCAAGGTCGATAACATATCCGCTAGAGGCGGAAGAATAATCAACAGTATCTTGTCCACCTTCACCTCGAAGTGTATCTTCACCCGCTGTTCCAAGGAGTCTATCGTCCCCAAGACCCCCATTCAAAATATCGTCCTCAGAGTTGCCCTCAAGAACGTCATTAGAATCAGAACCAATGACTTCTTCAAAGTTTTCAACGATATCATCTCCTGCAGCACCTGTTGCAGTTTCATCGGCAAGGCTGACAGTTACAGGTCCAGGCGCATCTGAGTAGTCTGCTGTGTCGAATCCATCGCCCCCATCTAGGTCATCATCACCTAGGCCTCCATTCACCAAGTCATCGCCATCATTGGCATTAATTATGTTGCTGCCTGAATCCCCTGTTAATGTGTCATTAAAATCACTGCCTTCAAGATTTTCGATATCAACAAGAACATCATCATGATTAATTCCGGAGGAAGTCCCTGCTGCAAGACTTGCTTCAACTGGTCCAATAGATATGCTGTAGTTGGCTGTATCGGACCCAGCGCCACCATCAAGTGTATTGTCTCCAGCACCACCATCTAGATCGTCATCGTCAGTACCACCATTTAGAAGGTCGTTATCTTCTCCTCCAGAAAGTTGATCATCTCCTTCATCGCCATTTAAAGTGTCACTTCCTGCGCCGCCGTCTAAAAAGTCGTCATCAGCGCCGCCATTGATTGTATCATCACCCTCACCACCAAAAAGGTCGTCAGTACCTGCATTCCCAAAGAGGTTGTCGTTACCACCACCTCCGTCGATAAAGTCATTTCCAGCATTTCCAACGAGGCTATTGCTGGACGCATTGCCAAAAATAATGTCATCGAAAGGCGAACCGTTTACATTCTCAATGTCTTCTCCCAAAGTATCATTAATTTCTTGATCTACAGGGGGTATTGCTAAGGAGGTATTGTTTGCATTGAGGGATAATAGATCGGCAAAAACAGGTGTTGGAGACCCTGAATAATCAATCGTGTCTTCTCCAGCACCACCAAATAAGCTGTTAGACCCAAAGCCTCCCAAGATAAGGTCGTCACCATCTCCGCCGTTAATGATGTCATCTCCTGCACCACCAGAAATAATGTCATCGCCGGGGCCTCCATTAAAGATTTCGCTAAGACTTCCCCCAAAAAGAAGATCTATTCCAGGACCACCAGTAAATTCAACGCCTGTGAGCCCAAGTGCTGTCGATAAAGCAGCAGAGCTTGTAAAGGTGACGATATCGTTACCTCCTAAAGCATCTAAAGGAGATCCTAAAAAGCTTCCAGGAACAACATCGTTAAAGTCAACAACGTCATCGCCTTCAGTAAAGAGAGGAATAGGCGTGTCTTCAACTTCTTCTACAAATAAATCAGCAACCCCTAAAGGATCGGCAATTAATTCATCATTAATAATGGTGATATCTGGCAGAAATGCTGGAGGAAAAGCTGGTAGTCCCCCGAGCCCTGGTGTGTTTCCAAGAAAAGCATAATCGCTAGCGGAACCCTCAACACCACCTGTATCTCCAATAGGGTTTGACCCATAGCTAAATGTGCTTCCAGATGCAGCATCCTGTGTTTGCGTGTCGTCAGTTGTTTCTTCGGTAGTGGTGCCTTCTGCCGTAGGGGCGTCAGTACCAAAGCCTGGAGGATCTATTACCTGGGCCAGCTGGATTTTTAACTTTTCTAAAAAAGTTGGAATTGATTTATCAGACATACCTACCCCACTACGCTAAATGTATTCTATACCTTTATATTAATGACAAAAAGACAATATAAAGTTAACAAATTGGAACTTTTTTCTTACTTTCAAAGGGGGGTCTTACTGTGGAGTGGTTTTGTTTTGTTTAATATTTTGTTTTTATTAGGAAAAATATTAATTTAAGGTGTTTTGAAGAAGCGCCTTCCATGAGAAGAGGCAAT